TGGGTCAGGCACACGTTAATCATCAGAGTGACATTTTTGCTTTCTATGATTTGATATACTTGTCTATATGTGTCTGTGTGTGTGTGTGTATATATATATATAATATATAAAACAGCTCAAAATATCTATTCTAAAAAATAACAAATGTAGGTTGAGTGTGGGAGTGTGCTCATCATCAGGGGCTCTGTGCTCCCTTCTTCTGTTTGGGGCAGGGCGTGGACCAAGAGGGGTGGATGGGGGTCGTTAGGCATGAGGAATTGGTACCCAACCTTCCTGCCATCAAGAGCCTTTGCAATGTTCTCAGTGCACCTTTGGGTATGGGAAGGAGGACTGTTTGCATTTATCAGATATTCACCCAAGAAGGCTGCTTCCCCCGCCGTTTGAGGTGGCATACAGTGGGGTCAGGGAAGCACATGGAGGCTGCTGCAGTCATTGGGGCGGAGCATGGAATGACCGAAATAGAGGAAACGGCATCAGGATGCAGAGAAGTGGGCACATTAAATATACATGTGGAAGGTGGGCCCACTAGGCTTGGTAGTGGACTGTGTGTGTGGAGGTCCTGAGTCAACCGATTCGAGTTAACACATTCAAGTGGCAGGTGTCAGAGAACTCTTGGTAAGCAACAGCTCCTAGAGGGGATTCAAAGAAATAATCCCTGTTCACCACAATGAGGTACCCAGAGCAGTTGGGTATGGAAGGTGGGATGTCTAAAGAGATCCGTGCTGAAGACACAGGTTGGTGTTAGTGTGCAAAGTGACCAGTGACCTGATGGCCTTCCTTTGCCCAGAGGAGAAGTAGAGGAGAGTGCTTAAGTGAAAAACCATTTCCACCAAGGCAGGAATCCATAAAAAGAACATGGTGCTAAGTGCATAAGGAGAAGATCGTATGAGAAGGAACGTGGAGTACTTGAGGGATGCTGCGGAGACCAGACTGACCAGGAGGTTCCATCCAAGTTCCTGAGAGTGTGACAGGCAATTCGGTTTATCCTGAATGCATAGGTAAGAGCCAGGACATCACATGCTTGGGAAAGATCAAGATCCCAGGAGCGCTGTGCAGGATGGAAAGAGAAGACCTGAGAAATGGAGAGTGGTCAGGAGTCGTTTCCAACCCTCTGACTGATGAAGTGGCTGTGGTGTTTAATGGACCGGTGGAAATGTGGGTGAATAGGACACGCCTTTCACAACCCTTATGCATAACATGCCAAGAAGTGTTGAGCTTGTTGTACTACTTCCAGTGATGAAGTACAAAGAGCTATGTCTCTCATTAATGCTGATGAAAGGGAGTGTGTTTCACATTTGTTAGAAGACTGTGCTGCTTTTCAAGTCACTGTGACAGATTATCTTCTGAATTTTTCTGCGGGCCCTCATGTTCCCAGTGGCAGGGCTTTGCTAAATTTGGGGTGCGAGCTGATCTTGAGAAAACTGCAGAGTCACGCTCTTTCTGAGGACTGGAGTATGGAGTAGCAGCCTGTCACAAAGGCACATCGGGCTGGTGGCCGCCTTGGTCAAAGTGCGTGTTCTACTCCAAGAATAATGAACTTGACGGTGTTCCCCGAGTAATGGGAGAGGCAGCTGCTAAATGTTGTAAGATCAAAGAGAAAGTCTACTATGGGAAGGCTTAGCCAGAGCCAAAGTGAGCATGCAAACTGATTTAGGGGTGTCTGGGGATGTAGGAAGATGAGCAACAGAAGAGGAAAATGTGGAATGGAAAGGACTCCAGCTGGTAAATGTCCCAGAGGCATCTCAGCCTTGGGTGGGCTACCTGAGAAAGTCCACCCTCAGGAAATGCACCTTCTCTGAGGTCACTGGCACAGATCTGGTGTTGTTAGCATCAGCCCCACAAGGCCCCTCAGCCTGGACCCTGCACTGTGCCCCATCTGGTTGGACACCCCCATCTGATAGTCTGTGCCTGGAATGCCACTATTCTTGGCTGTGACCATTCCTTGCCCAACCCCAACCAACCAACCTCTCCACCTGCCTCATGCTCCCCATCTCACACTTGCTGTGCATAATTCCTGTGTCTGTTTCTTCCTTACAAAGAAAACAGGCATGCTACCTTGGTGGCACTGTGGTGCAATGAATCGTTTTCATATGGTCTGCTAAGTTCCAGAGAATGATTGGCTGGAACTATGCAAATTGACTGACTTATGGTCGACTGATGGGATTGTTCAGTTTACTGTGCAAATTGAGCGTTTGTGGTCTACCCAGGGGTTTGGTCAGTGGCTGTGTTGGGAGGGCTATGACTTGAAATTGACAAGGAGTAGGCTTACATAAAGGCCAGTTGCACTGAAGTGCGGGAGGCCACTTCATTACCATCAAGAAGAAGAGTCTGAAGTGGATTGGGTCGTTTGGACCAAGGACCCAGGGCCTCTGCACCGAGAACCTCCTAGACCCAGAAGAAAGAGTAAACCCTGAAGACGGCACAAGACAGTGAGAAGCAGTGTGAGCCCAGTAGCTTGGATGCGAGAGAGCCCTACAGGCCCGGGTAGCATGGCAGGAGTTGGCAGCGGAGGCCGGCGAGGTCCAGCTGCAGAGCAGAAGTCTCAGGAGCCATGCAGGCCCCACTACAGCATGGTGGTAGCGGCTGTGTTGGGCTTGCTGACACATGGATGGAGAGCCTCCTTCAGGCAGGAGTCTTGCTGGCAGAGCTAAAAGAGCTGTAACACTTCTTTGTGCAAGGCACGAGAGGCCTGAGTGTGCCCTGTGCAGGGGTTGCATGTCTCCCCTCCGGGACGCCTGCTCTTGTTCACCTGGGCTGTGGGTTACACGGGATCAGTTTGTCCTCTGGGGAATGTGGAGATTGAGTAACCAAGGTCAGCCACGAGGTGCTCCATGCCTCCTTGACTGACCCTCAGTAAAATCCTGGACACTAAGGCTCTGGGTGTCTCTGGTGGCCACCCTCCCCAGGTGTGTTATCCTCATAGCTGCTGAAGTAAGTACCATCCACACATCTCCCCTGGGAGGGTATGCTGGACTCTGGCACCTGGTCTCTCCTGGACTTGCCCCGTGTGCCTCTTCAGCTGCTGGCTTTATTCCGTGTCCTTCCACCACAACCTTGAGTGTAATGACCTCCCTGATCCCTGTGAGTCCTTCAGCAGATCCTCGAACCTAAGGGTGGTCTTGGAGTCCCTGGCCCGGCGAAGATTCCTGTGGCACCCACGTCCTGGGGGCACCACAGAGGTGACAATACAGCACCCTCAGCAAGCTGGCCACACTGACCCACACTCTGTTAGTTCATTAGATGTCCACTCTCAGCTCCAGGAACCCACAGATGACACAGCCTCCGTCCTGTCCTGTTGTCCAGCACCCGTGCGAGTGGGAGAAGGAAGACGGCATGTTAACATGTGTTCAGTGAGAGATGGGGAGCACTCAGAACGGAGGCAGGTGGCCTGTGGAGGCCACAACCTTGAAGGGGCTGGAAGCCAAGTTGGATGGACCACCGGGAGCCCACACAGCACTCTCAGGAGGGCTGGGGCACCAGGCTGGATATGCCAGCCCCCATCCTCTACCCTCACTCTCTAGCTATGACAGGGCAGGGGTGATGCCTTTCTCTCAAGAGCTTCGGTGGAACTAAGAGGCTCCTCATGTCTGCACTGGCCCCTCACCACCTTCAGCAAATGTTGTGACCCTGCTATTCCTGTGCCCAATGCTGTGGGATGAACATCGGCACAGAGGCTGCCTCCAGTGAGCCCGAGCCCACCCTCTTGGCCCGGGGTGGGGGGCTGGGATCTGGGGGGTGCCTTTGGTGGTCTGTGTTGAACATTCTGGGCTCTGCAGAGCGGCTGTAACATGCAGGCCTGGCAAGGAGTCGCTGAAGTGGGCCTGGAGACTCTGACTGAATGTGAATGTCCTTTATAGCAGCCCCTGGGTGAGGGTGTCCAGGGCCTAACCCGCCTGCCCCACCTGCCCCATGGGGCAATGTGATCTGTGCGGACACGCACGAGCCACAAAATATGCCCCTGTTAATGGTGGAAGGAGGGTTCACAGAAGAAAGCAGGGAGCTCGACCATGCAGGGGTACCCCCCAACCCCACTGTGACTTGGCTGAGGCTGTGCATCCAGGTTACATCTACAGTGGGGGCGATACCCCTGCCCAAGGGGGCTTTGTGGGGTTTATGAAATAGCTGTGTGTACATATGTATATACAGAGAGAGAGAAGGAGAGACAGAGAGAGGGAGAGAGAGAAAGGGAGAGAGAGGGAGAGGGAGAGACAGAGAGAGGGAGAGAGAGAGACAGAGAGAGGGAGAGACAGAGAGAGAGAGGGAGAGAGAGGGAGAGAGAGGGAGGGAGAGAGAGAGAGAGAGGGGCCGCCAGTGGTGGAGGTGAAAGTAGACTCAAGCACCCCACATTCTGTCCCAGTATGAAGAGATAATAAGCACCCCAGTAAAAACACCCGTTGCTGTCGAGTCCATTCCGACTCATAGCGACCTTATAGAACAGAGTAGAACAACCCCACGGGGTTTCAAGGAGATGCTGGTGGGCTCCAACTGCCCACCTGCCCACTGCGCCACCAGGGCTCTGTCCCAGTAAAAGGGCGCTAATAAAAACAACTTAATGATGTCCATCTTAGGTTCCTATAAACATAGGAAAAAGAATCAACTATTCTTGTTAAATAAGAAAAAGCTTCAATCTGAGTAGGAGCCTTAAGATCTCCTTGACATTTTCCTAGGGCCACAACATCCGTTAAAGTGAACAGGCCGCCAAAGACAGACAACAGCTGCGGGTGGTTTGAGAGCGAACGCTTGGTGACTCTACGCGGGGCGCTGTCTCCTCTACTAAATCCGGGCTTCTTGCAGGAAAGGTGCTTGAACACAAGCGTAGGTGTGTGAGGTGTGGTCCGTGCTGGTGAGACGTCTCCGGCACCTGCGTGCGCCCTTCACCTGCGCGCTCAGGTGCCCACCTCGGCGCCCCCGTGTTTAAAGGGTGACACGCCCCGGCCATCCCGCGCACCCCCCCCCCCCAGCAGGCGCAGCCCTACAGCTCTACTTACACCCTGACCGACCGTCCCGCGCCCACCCGAGCCGCGCACTCACGGTAGGCGCAGCCGTACAGCTCCACTCGCATCCCGATGCGGCCGTCCGGGTTCCAGGCCGCGGGCAGGAAGCGCACGTGCCGCGTCTCCACGGGCGGCCGCAGCCGGTGGAGCACCACGCTGTCCGCGTTCGCGTTCCCCCGGAAGCCCTGCGAGAGAGGGACAGGCTCAGCACCCGCGGCTCTCCCTAGCGGACCGTCCTCTCACTGCTCGTTAAAGCGGCGACCTCTGGGCCCTGACTGCTGTCTGCCCGACACCCTGGGCTGTCTCAGGCCAGCACAAGGTCAGGCTCGTGCTAAACAGAGAAGCCAGCTCTTGTGACAGCCTCTCCTCTGAGCAGTGTTCCCAGGTTCTGAGGCTCCTTATGGAAAGGCTGGTTTGAGTTTTATTAGCACCATTAAGCCTTCCATGAACCAAAGTGCCCTCTGCAAAGCTTGCTGTGATAAAGCACCCACCACATCAGCTTTATGCTTCATCTCTAGGTGATAAAGATTCGCCTTTGCCAATTCAGTGATGATTTCAGAGGATCTGTAACGGGAGGGAATCATGGATTCTGGTGCATGTGAGCTAGAAGGGCCCTTGGAGAACATTTCAGTCTAACGCCCTGGACTGCGGACCAGGGGGGACATGAGGAGGTTTGTGAGGTCAGGCAGGGGCCCCGTCCACTGGACCTGCCCAGGCTGGGCTTCTTTGCCCTACAGCTCAACGCAGGGTAGGCCAGGTGAGTCAGGTGAGCCAGGTGAGCCAGGTGAGCCAGGTGAGTCAGGTGAGCCAGGTGAGCCAGGTGAGCCAGGTGAGTCAGGTGAGCCAGGTGAGCCAGGTGAGCGAGACCCGAGACCCAGGCTACCTGAGAAGGGCTGTGCGTGTGCCTCCCGAGGAAAGGCTTCCTCCCAGCCCGAACGGCCTACTTCCCCAGGAGAGCGGAACAGGGGCGCTGGAGCCTCTCTCTGCTTCACGTCCAGCTTTCGACCAGCCGCCAGAGCATTCTTGGATTATACTATAGAACTGGCTGTTTTCTGAAGTGGTTGTGAAGTGAGGCCTGTGATCAGATTTCATGACTGCCCAGGTGAAAGGGCTGATCCTGCACAGGTTTCAGCTGCCAGGAGGCTCTCCCAGCGTGTGACGTAGATGTAACTTTTGTGCACTAACAAGCTAATTCAGGAAGGAATGTGATGCCGCAGACTTGGGGTGTGTGCACGTGTGTGTTTAACCTCTCCATCACAGACATGTGTTTTCCTTGACCATGTTGAACTTTTCCTGAGCCCTGTGATCCTGGGAAAGTGATGTCTGAAGAAATCCACCACCCTTTTATGTCCCGGGGAACTGCTCACTGCCAAGAACCCCTCCCCCAAATGACTTTGCTAAGACTCACAGATGCTCCATGTCTGCCTAGAAGAAGGCCAACAGACCCTCCAAACTCCCACTCTTTGCCTCATAAATGATTAGCTGAGATGCTTTTTGGAAAAAAATGCTTGTTAACCAAACTTTGTGTATTCTTCTCTCCTTCCCTGGGAATTTTTCCGGGTGTAAGGGTCACCAGGAACGGGCAGTGTTTTGTTCTGTTGTACGTCGGGTTGCTGAGTTGGAACTGACTCGCCGGCACCTGGCAGTGGCAAAGGGTCACCAGGAGTCAGAATCCCCTTGATGGCAACTAACAAGGTGGCGACTAACTTTCAGCTTTAAAACTATTAAAGTTGTGGTATAAGTGATTCACTTCAAACTTAAAAAGATAGTGAAGACAATGAAGGTTTAAATTCTGGTCATCTCATCAAAAAGCAAGAAAATACATTCTATTAGAATGCTTTGCTGGTATTTGTCACTTCTGTGGTTTTCTGTAGACCTTTAGGATTGCTCTAAGAGGTGCCTTTCAACTCCCTATTTTAAGTATTAATTTCCCAAGCATTATAATACAAAAGCTCCATTAAGATAGCATTGATTTAACATTAAAATTTCAAATGAAAACGCCATTCTTGTTGTCATTGCAATCATCCTAACAATTGTCTAGTCTTGAATCAAACCTCTGGGCTGTGCATTAGGGATCACCAACTGTGTGTTAATTACCTCCACACTCTGTTCATAATGGATCCAGTCCTGTAACTCAATGAACAAAGAGCCTTTTGGAGTGTGCAAATCCCTTTTTTTTAAAGTCAATTGAATGTCTAATAGTTTTCCCAGGTGGAAATTTAGATTTGAATTTTAGAAAAATAATCAAAATCAACAAATGTTTTCAATATTCATGACATTGTTCTTATCCTGAAAATAAGGAGTTCAGGTACCTTGGATGAAGAATTCAATCAGCCCTTTCTGAATCTTTCCAGTCAAGAGACAGAAATCCAAGCTTTGGTTCTGGAAGCTCCTTACTTATTGCTATGGATTGATTTGTGTCCCCCGAAAGATATGTTAAAGTCCTAATCCCTGGTACGCATGTAGGTGACCTTGTTTGGAAGTAGGGTCTTTGACGATGTGATAGGTCACACTGAAGTAGGCTGGGTCTTAATCCCAACTGAGGGGTGTCCTTATCAAAGAAGAGACACAGAGGGAAGGACAGTATGTGGAGATGCATCTGTAAGCCAGGGACTGCCTGGGGCTACCAGAAGTCCAGAGACAAGGAAGGAAATTTCTCTAGCGCCTTTGCAGAGAACACAGCCCCGCCCACACCCTGATTTTAGACTCAGCCTCCAGAACTGTGAGAACAAATCTGTGTTCCCATAAGGCATCGAGTTTATGGTACTTTGCTAAGGTGGCCACAGGGAACCAATTCCCCTCTTATTTGGTGGATGGCCCCACATCTTCCTGTGACCCTTACAGTTCTCCCCTTGCTAGGCTGGGAGAGGCTGGGAAGGCTGCTACACCCCTCCCGCTCTGTGCCTTAGCGGCAAGCGTTCCTCACCAAGCACTGATAGTTTATGTACAGCAAAGGGAGATTCTGGCCCTCACAGCACTCCTGTTAAACTCTGTTGTCAACATTGTTGTTAGCTGCTGTTGACTGATGGCGACCCCATGCACAACAGAAGAGAATGCTGCCTGGTCGTGCGCCATCCCCATGAGCAGATGCTGATGAGACCATTGTGATCCATAAGGTTTGTATTGGCTGATTTTCAGAAGTAGACAGCCAGGCCTTTCTTCCTAGTCTGTTTATTCTGGAAGCTCTGCTAAAACCTGTTCAGCGTCACAGCAACACACAAGCCTCCACTGACAGATGAGTGGTGGCCACACATGAGGTGCATTGGCTGGGAATGGAACCCAGGTCTCCTGCACCAAAGGTGAGAATTCTACCGTCGACATTAACCATCTCTTTACTCTAGATGTTTTAGAACCAAAAAATAAAATAATATGCGTACTGGGTTGGGGTGCTGCACTTTCAATTCTGGTATACTCTGATCACATAATGACAGTTTCACTGAACGCCAAATAAAGAGACTCCCTGATTTAGTGATAGTGAAATTTGGAGCACAAAGAACGGAGGCTTCCTTTATCATCTCCCACCCTGTGACAAGCTGTGCGACTCAGCAGAAATGCAGGTGGCATCCCTGAGTAACCCCAGCCCGACCTCAGAGAACAACCACCTTTGGGACCAGAGGGCAGAGCCCATGGGTCCCCAAGGAACTCCCTCCATGTAGACAAACAGGACCACAGACCAAGAAAACTGGACAGCGGAGTTCTGGTGCATCCAGGAGCTATCAGTGCCTTCTCCACAGTCCCTAACAGACGAGGACTGTCCATCCACATCTGTGAGCAGGGCCCGGGAGATCTTCCTAGAAAGATCCACTTGGGAGACCTGTGAGCCTGAGGAGTGATGAGTAGACTCGCCGCAGCCTCGGTTTCTGCGTCTGTAAGTGGGGTCCTCGGAGAACTGAGGGGTGATGCTGTCGAGCACTGCCGGGGGTACTGCCGGCCGTCACCACCCTGCCATCTGCGATGATGCCCATTGCTGGTGTTGGTGTACTGTTCTGACCTCATCGGTCAGACTCTGGACAGTGCTGACTTTATTGGGTTTAATATCCAAGACATCTGTTTAAAGAGCTAAGATACAAATAGCAGCTCCTATGACCAAAGCATTATAATTCAACATTGTTATTACATTCAAATTTTATTTAAATGACACTCACAATATATATATTTTTTTAACTTCAGGAAACATAGATCCAGAAGATCTGCCCCGGCAAGCTGACGCCAAATTCTGGAAACTAAGCTTCTGTTTGCTGGGATTAGAGGGCCAAACAGTACAATGGGTCTCTAAGCTGTTGATGGGGCCCTAGTGGCGCAGTGGTTAAGAGCTTGGCTGCCAGCCAAAAAGGTCAGCAGTTCCAATCCACTAGCCGCTCCTTAGAAACCTTACCACGCAGGTCTACTCTGTCCTACAGGGTTGCTGTGAATCGGACTTGACTAGATGGCAGTGGAGTTTTTTTCAAGCTGTTATGTTAATGTTATGTTAATAGAGCTAAACAGCTGATATCTTAGTTACCTAGGACTACTTTAAAAAAAACAGGAATTTATTTTCTCACAGTTCAGGGGGTTAGAATTCCAGATTCAGGGTCTGGGCCTTGTCCATCCTTCCGTGGCCTCTCTTCTGGTTTCTGGTGTCTGCCGGCAATCCTTGGCGTTCCTTGGCATCTGTCTTCCCTCGGTGTGTCTCTGGGTCTATGCTGGTCTTTTTACAAAACATCACTCGGAAGTGATTGGGTTTAGGGCCACCCTACTGTGGAATGGCTTCATTAGCATTAAAAAACAAAACAAAACAAAAAATCCTTACTTCCATACTGGGTCATATTTACAGGTTCAGGGTTAGGATTCCAACATAACTTTCTGAGGGACACAATTTAATCTGTAACACCATTCCCCCACCATTCTTGAGGCAACATTTAAACCTACATTTGAACTGACTAAATAGAATGCAGAATCCGTATAGCTTTCACCCAGATACCTAGAATGGCTCACTGTTAACACTTGGCCATGTTTACTGTTTCTGTGTACACAAGTGTGCACACGCACACACTCACATATGCACACATATGCACATACACTCTGCACACATCAGTTCACATGCATGTGGGCATATGCACACACAGAGGCATATCTACTCATACATGCACATGTGTGGATACAACACGCAATACACGCACACGCACACATGTAATTGGTTGTTGTT